AGTATTTTAAACTGTATAAAAAAAATTGAAATCAATTGTGAAAATCCATTCCTTATATAGGACGTTCTCTCCTGTTTTAACACACGCATCCTGCAGATCACTTGTTAAATTTATTATATATATATACAAGTTTTTTTTTTTTTTAAGTCGCCAATAGGCTTATTAAGTACTTAATTAACAATTTGATCATCTTTCAAAAATTTTTTACGCACTACTACTAAATCGATTCTGGAATATTGGACGAACTATTTATAGATAAAGCGTCACTTGGACAAAGGCATTGAAGGATTTCCAAGACTTCTACAAATATTGTCATATATTGTTCCAACAAAGAAAAAAAGTACATAATGAATTTTCTACTTCACACTTTGCATATTCAATTTGAAAAATATGGCCAATCGATTCTTTGAATCACAAAGCCCACTCAGCACGGCCGTACAATTATTTCAATAAGAGAGATGTTCACTTATAGTTACACAATCAGCAATACGCATCTTCAAGATCCTCGGGAATAAAGTTAACACCTCTAACAGATTTGCTTTAAAAACAGGAATAATAAATTAATTGCCGATTCTTTTAAAACGAGCAGAATTTTATATAAATGTCAAAACCGCGTGTAATAGTACTTTTCTATTGCGTCAATTTTTTTATCTTGACTGTAGCTGTTATATTTCAGAAACTTTATAAAGGCATGAAAAAAACAAATTCCAAATTCAGAATAAAAATTTTTTTTTATTGATAAAGCTTTTGAAAGTCTTCAAACTTCAATAAATTTTCTACCGACAACTCTATTTATACACAGTATTTTTAAGGTTTAATTTCAACCTTCGTTTCTTGAGACAAGACGAAAAAATATAAATGGCATGCATAAAATGCAAACATTTTACATTTATTAGATTTCTAAAGTTCCAAGCTTTAATTTGATATCATTATCTATACTAATAAAATAAAGCTTCATATACAAACCTTTTTGTGCAACGGTATATAGAAAAAGTAACAACAGTACATGGATCTTGAGTATAAAGACAAGACTCTTGGTCTTTTATCAAATTGTTATTCTTTTTGATAATTTTTATTACAGGTGACTGACTTTTAAACAAAGAGGTTGGTTAAAACTAAAGCTGAAGCATTACATTTGCTTTATTGGCTTATAATATGTAAATTAGTAAAAGCAATGAACGATAGACCAAATTCAAACGGAGAAAGTACATTATAGACATTTATTTTTATTTTTAAAAATCAAAACGATAATACTTATAACACTTGTAAAGTAATAGACAAAAGAAAATAAATAGTAAATAAAAGTGCACGCCAACATTTTGTTTTTATATAATTGTTTATGTACGAGTAACGCATTATGCAAATAATCAAAATTTCTAGTTACTAATTTGTAATTGTTATAACTTCAAAAAATAAATAATAACTAATTAATAAATTAAATATTAAATTCTAAGATAAATAATAACGAATAAATATAATAATAGTAATGAATATTAGATTCCAAGTTTTCCCAAGAAATCGATTATTAATTGTAAAACTTCTTGAGGTTTTTCTTCGTGAGGTAAATGTGCACATTGTGTTAATACTTTAAATTCCAAGATCGAATCAGAAGGTGAATTCGATTCGATTTCTTCAAATACCTTTTTATGTGCATCGCATGTTGTATATTTGTCATCATTTCCTACTATGAATAAAGTCGGAATTTTTTGTAATACATTTTTATGTGGTAGAATTTCAAGTGGAGTAAAATATTTTAATTGAAATGAAATCGCTTCGTAAAAATTTGGTAAAGTTAATTGTACTCTATAATGAGGCCTGATCACAGTTTCCCAATCAGGAATCGACTTTACATCGTAATATAACAATCGGGACGGTAACTCTCTGGATAGATAATATTTCAAAACCAATCTTCCAGGAAATGATCCTAGAATCATACATGCAATGGGTGGTGGACCTAAAAAACATTAAATATTAAATATTAAATATATAAATTATATATAATCAAAATTTTTTTTTGTAAAGAAATTTTTACCTTGATCTTCAACTTTTATAGCAGGACAAATGTGAATTAAAGCAAAAGTAATATGTGGATATTTTATTGAGAGATAAGAACTAATTGCACCACCAGCAGATGCTCCAACAAATACAATCTTTTTATCAGCATATCCTAAACACGATAAAAACTTCAATATAAATTCACATAAAGCTTCTTGTGTGTAAGGATTTTTGTCTTTTTCCCATTGTATTGGCCTTTCGGTCAAACCAAAAGATATCCTATCGTAAGCTATTACATGACAACCTGTAGCATTAGCAAGTGGTTGCACGATATATTTCCATTCATATAAATCTCCTAAAATGTGATGAAGACATAAAATCACAGGTTTATCTGGATTTGTGTTGTCGTTGTTATTAACGTGTTGTAATTCCTCTTTCTTCTCTTCTTGTTGAGGAACCGATATTTTATAAAATGTTTGAATACCGTCAACGATTACAAAACGTCCTTCTGGATCGGCCGATGCTATAGATTCAAGAAATACTCTTTGTGAAGAAGAGAGTGACATATTTAATGAATTTTTAAAAAATAGAAAAAAAAGTTATTAAATCGAAAAATGTCATTTGGAATGGTATTTATTATTTCTATTTTTTCTATTTTTTTTTTTTTTTTCCTGCATATTTGTTTATATGTCTTTTTTTACTTGATAGATTTATGTTACTCGCAATCGGAGATATTTCCAAATTAATTTTAAGGAAAACATTTAAATATTATAATAAATATGTTGAAACCAATTAATGGCTAACATGATTGATAATAAGGATCATTTCGTTATAGAACGATATGCAATCATCACAGAACTTTCAATGTCATATGTAGGTTAAGACAATCAAAATCCTTCTAGCGAATTAGTAATTGAAATGTAACACCAAAAGTAGTATGATAAAATTTGTTGTTATTGTTAGTATTATGTCATCATTAGTAATGGTTATATAACAATTATATAAGTCACACGAGATTCATTTCGGAACTCTGTTTTTAAACTATGCAGTTAATCACTAATTGCAAATCGAAAAGGTTTAACGACAACTTTTGATAAACTGAATTTTGGGGAAAATTCGAGCAAATTTTTCGTGTGTTAACCACAACAAACCAGACAAAGTGAATATTTCTATAATACATATACACACGGAGAAAAGTTAATTGTTAAAATAATGGAATATTCATTACAAAGCATTGATCTAGTTTGCGGATCAACAAACAAGTTGGTACTTTTTTTAGGCAAATACAGTGAACCTTCCATAGGTGCACCCTCCATAAATACACGCTATGTCTAATTCCCAACCTCGGGGATTGGAGATACATGCACACCCTCCATAATTTGCACTGCACGGTCTTCCCCCATCCCCGTTCATATAAAACCACCCTCTCTCCAAATGCACACTCGTGACTTTCACGTGATTTATTTGCTAATAAATTCGTGTTACATTAATTAATTCATCAATCATCTCTGTTTACCTCTTTTTTTAATATTGGTGATGGATTAAGTAAGCTACTGTTGCTTATAAAGGATTAAATGAATTTTTGCTAATTCTTTCTTTTTAATTGAGAAAGAGTTATTAGAATAATAATGATAAAAACACAAATGGTGAAAATCATATATACGCAAAATTAAAAAAATTAAGGATTAAACAAAGGATAAAAGATCCCGAATTTTTTTTAAATTACGTTTAATAAAAATAACCAAAAATAAAATAAGAAAATTCTAATGAACTATTAAGACAAGTTAATGCCCTTGAGCGATACATTAATTTTTTAAAAAAAAATACTCAATGAAGCAAACTACAATGAAACAATTTTTTAGTTGACAATAATAATAATATTAATATGTAATAATAATACAGTCGATGCTCGATATAGTGAACCTACTATATAGTAAATCATATGATATAGTGAAGTTGGAAAATATCCCGTTTCATTACATATAAATTCTGCTCGATATAATGATTTTTAATATAAACTCTCGATATAATCATATAGTGAAGTTTTACTTGGTACACATTATATTAACTAGAGCTCGATATAGTAAAGTCTTTATAAAATTTTGTCGATCATTACTTAATTGTATTAAATAATAATAAATTTGAATTTAGTAATTTGTCGCAAAAAAATTTTTTCATTAATATTAATATTAATATGAATTTGGTAGCGAAAAAACAAAGTAATTGAATTTAGCAATGTGTCGCGAAAAATAATTGAATTTAGTAATGTGTCGCGAAAAATAAAGCAATTGAATTTAGTAATATCTTGCAAAAAAATAAGTAATTTAATTTAGTAATGTGTCGCGAAAAATAAAATAATTTAATTTAGTAATGTCTCGCGAAAAATAAAGTAATTGAATTTAGTAATGTGTCGCAAAAAGTTTAAAAATAATTGAATTTAGTAATGTCTCGCGAAAAATAAAGTAGTAATGTCTCGCGAAAAATAAGGTAATTGAATTTAGTAATGTGTTGCAAAAAGTTTAAAAATAATTTTCTTGTAATTATTTACTGAATTTCTTACAAATAAAAGAACTAGGAATTGTACTTTTGTTTGTAATTATTTATTAAAAAATCATTTCAGCTAAAAATTATTTTCTCAAATTTTAATAAAAAAAAAATAAAAATGTCATCAATTGATCAATCAAATAAAAAAAGAAAAGTTTTGACTTAATGAAAGAAATCTATCATTCACATATAAAGAACTTGGCCAAAAATTTGGAATTGCAGAACCTACTGTTTGCAAGATTTTAAAAGATAAAGATAAATGGTTATCTATCAACCCTAATGATACCAACAGACAAAAAGATAAAGCAGCAAAATATCCTGATCTTGAAAGTGCATTGATGATATGGTTCAATCAAGAAATTTCAGATAAAAGAGTAATTACAGGTGATATAATTCTCACTAAAGCTAAAAGATTTGCCAAATTACTAAATATCAATGATTTTAAAGGTTCAGATGGTTGGGTGTCAAATTAAGAAAAGAAATAACATAGAGCAGTATGTTATGCATGGTGAAGCAAGCTCTGCACCTTCTAAAGAAAGAAGAAGATTACAAGAAATATTAAGGAATTTCCTTTAGAAGATGTTTACATGTATAATTGTGATGAAACTGGCAAAATAATTCAGTATAATTATTATTATATCATTTATAATAATAGACTAACTAAGTATTTATTTTATTAGGATTGCTCTGGGATTTAGAACCTTCAAAGACATTATCAACTGGTCCTCTTTCTGGTATTAAAAAAATTGAAAAAAAGAATAGCCCTTTTACTGACCATGAATGCAACAGGAACTGAAAAACTTCCTCTTTTATTTATTCATAAGTATCAAACACCAAGAGACATGCTTGTAGTTGACAAGTCAAAGCTTCCAGTTGATTACTATTGGAACACAAAAGCCTGGATGCAAGTTTCTATTTGGAATCAATATTTGATAAAGTTGAACCAGGAAATGGCCAGGGGAAATAAAAACATTTTATTATTGTTTGATAATGCACCAGTACACATTCTTGATCAAGCAACCATTTTAACAAATATCATGCTTCATCACCTTCCTCCTAATACAACTGCCCATCTACAACCTGCTGATGCAGGAATTATAAATTCCTTTAAAGTAAAGTATTATAAATGATAAATATTTATTTGCTTACATCCAGAAAATATAAAAAAATTTTACATGTGTCAATTGTAAGTTTAATAATAAAAAAGTGTAAAACTTACGTCGGCACTGTAAGATTTACACAATATTACGTCGGCATCGTAAGATTTATGCAAGTTTACGCTAAATTAATTTCCTGATGTTGTAAATGCTTATATAATTTCATTCCATCAAGAATTACTTAAACAAAACAGTGCTAACAGCCTTAGACATTGGAAAGAAAATAGCAAATTCTGAGAAAATAAAGTCAATGATATAGAATTTAATTACATCTCTGGTGAAAAAAGTAATAATATATTTGGATCAATTGAAAAATCACATGGTGAACCATTGAATATTAAGAACCAAACCAGAAACACACTAGTGATGGCAATGAACGAAAAGGAAGAAAGAGTAAGTTTATGAAAACAATAATGACAAAAATGACATTGTTATGATAAAAAATCTCATGGAAAACATGCCAATAAGGATAATAATTGTAAAAAAAAACAAGTGTTTATTATTTAAGAATTATTGATTTAGATGAATCTACAAAAACAACAGAAATTTAGAAAGTCAAATAGCTCCATTAGAAAAAAGATTGAATTAAATTTAAAAGAGCAAATTGATGATATTGAAAATTAAAAGAGATGAGTTCATGCAGTAATTTTAAATTGAGTACCATAAGATCTGAGCAGTAGATATTGTACCATGGATAAGTATAGCACTTATTACAAGGATGTATTGTACTCATCTATACTTTCTATACTTGTATCTTTAATATAAGTACTGAATGTACTATATTCATTTTAATGTTACTTTATTGTACTTGCTGCAATGATAGTATTGTGCTGAACATGCATATAATCATATTCTTTGTATAAATAAAACAAATCCCAATTATAAAAAAATAATGGGTATTACTTGCAATTTACTTATGAAACTTGGTTGACAGAAGATGAATTGAACACTTTATTCAAGAGAAAAACTGATAATAGATGTGAAATTGAGCAAGATATTAATTGTAATTTATTTTCTTTGAATTATTAACTGGTTGTTTTTATAGTAATAATAATTTTCATTTTTTTCAAATTTAAGAATAAAAATAAGAATTAAATTTGCAAATTGACATAATGAATTATTAACTTACAATTTGTAATGAAATTGTATGTTAAAGTAAACTGATCCCAATAAATTCAGCCAACCGCCCTTGTTTTGTATCCATTCTTCCAGTAGTTGGTAAGCCATAAAAATTCAACAAATTGTTTAAGTTTTGAGCTTTATATTTAAAAAAAACATTATTTGTAAATTATTCAAAAAGGAGAAAGAAGAATGTGCTAGTGTACAAACCGGTTAGTCCTCGTAGTTGAGATATGTTAGAGGGAAAACTTGTTGGAAGTTGGTTCAGTAAGTTGGGAGGCACTTCAATATTTGTAGTTGGATCAGTAATTCTTGAATTTAATGATCTACAAACAGACCGGCTATCCCTAAAATATAAAAAGTTCATTCAATAGTTATTTTAGTAAAAGGGACATAGTATGATTATGGGAAAAAGACTTACAAAGATTGGACATTGGTTTGAATTGCATTTAATTGAGTTGTCATTGTATTAAATTGAGTTGTCATTGTATTAAATTGAGTTGTCATTGTATTGAGGGTATTTTGGATAGCCACAAGCTGATTTGTTATGCTAACAACAGGTATATTTGATACTAAAGACACTTCCTGTGCTAACAGGTTAAGACCTTGAGAAATATTATTATAATTAGGTTGTTGTGCCTAAAACAAATTACAAAGAGAGGTGAGGTGAGACTTGAATCAGAAATTATGTGCATTATTTAATTAAAATTTACCATGATTGATTTTTAAAAAAATAAAAACAATAAAAACGCGTTAATTTGTTACTAAACGTTTATCATTATGTATATATAGAAGTATCAACTATAGCATGATGGAAGTTTGATTTCATTGGCTAAATTTTGTGATGATCTCCCTTCCAGACATCACGCAAAAATTAAATTTTATTGGCTCGATGATCATTGCTGAAACTAGATTTTTCGGGCGAACTCTGAATTTAAAAATATTTTGGTGATACGAAAATTTTATATTTATGATAAGAAAAAGAGTGTTTTAAGACGTTTTAAGGCTACAGATTTATTTAAAGTCAATAATATGTAAGGATTAGGTTTAATTAATTGTTTTTTTGTTTTTTTTTTGTTTTTTTTTGGAAATAAAAATTAATAATTTTGGAATTAAGAAATTTGGATGCTTTAACTGAAACAGTAAGGAAATATATCCAATATATATAATTGATAAAGTTATTATTGTTGTATAAAAATTAATTAGTTGATATATATATATATATATAATTTAGTATAATATTACCTTTTATCTTTCATATTTATCAAGATGGCCGGATCTTTTTTGTTTGCAAGAGTCATCAAATGGGATAATAATGGGATAAGGTTAATAATAAGATTATTAATAGATAATTAGATTTTTTATTTTTATCTTTAAATATTTTTAGATATATATTTTTATTTATTATTATAGTTATGGGCAAAGCAGAAGGAAGAGGTAAAGAATGGCATGGACATGTAATTGCCATTACTGTTGCACCAGAGTATAACGAATAGGATTGGCTGATAGAATGATGCAATTGCTGGAAAATGTTTCAGAAAACGTGTTTGTGGGTTTTTTTTTTATGTAAAAATTTTTTTAAGATATGAGAAAACCATTGAGAAGGGATGTAAACAGAGAAAGCGTAGTTGAAAATGGAGAATTGAATTATGTCAGATCCGAAGATTTATTATAAAATATATATTAATAAAATTTCATGGAAAATTACATGTTAGGCCATCAAATATTTATTTCAAGCATTGCTTTATAACATCCTGTAATACATTACTTCTAACCTCTAACCATATCCAGAGTTTTAACAATGGAGTGATATCAATAAACCATCAATGTTATCATCATTTTGTGTTTTTTAATACCCTCAATCTCTCTTTTACTAGCTTTCTGAGCTCCAATTTTCTTAAACTTGGTAAAGAACTTTTTAATAAATTCATATTAGGACCCATCTGTCTACCAATACCTTCCAATAACAATACTGGTATAACAATATGTACAAAATCCCCTTCTAACTTTACATGATGGTTCTTCGCTATTCTTAAAACATCTGTTAAAACATCTGATGTTTTATTTTTCCAATTTGTAGCTTTAACAATCTTCAATATTAAATATTGGATTTCAATGCATAGATTAACCAATTCAGGCGTTTTGGGCTTATCAATCATAAGTATCCCCATCGAATTTTGCTATTCCACTAAACAAATCCAAGGAATTGCATCTTATTAAAGTTACTAGTCCAATATGATTTGTGGTTGATACTCTTCATTGCACACTCTCGTCAATTTCTCTCTAACCATTGGTTCCTGACATGACTAGGATTTTGTAACCATATAGCAATGCTTATTCATCTTTTAATGCTTCATCATAATTGCTGCTGCTGCTATTATCATTGCTTTCATATTTCAAGTAAGATTTGACCAGTCATAAGAATATATATTTGGTGTGCACACAAATTATAATTATAAGCATATTCCCAAGTCATTATTATTATAGAAAATGAAATAAACAAGTGTAAATAGATGTGTAAATGTTAAAAACACGATTCCCTCAAACAATAATAATAATATCAGAAATGCTATTAATTAATTAATTATAAATAAATATATCAGTGAACATCATATCTTAAAAACAATCACATATATATATTAAACACAAGCAATAATAATCAATGAATCTTATTCATATCAACGATTCTGCTATCATAAGCTCCAGAACAATTCTCTAAAATAAACTAATGGGTAAAGCATCTTTATATTCCTCAATTAACCTACTTTTGGACATCTGATCAAAGGAATGGGAAACTTTATTGCATATTTTTCCTTGAAATTTTTTTGAAATTCTAGTAGATTATATGTTTCAATCCTTAAACTCAATTGGTTTTGCACTTCAACACTTCTTCAAGGAGTGATAGCCATTGCATCTGAAAATTGACAATTCACACAGTTTATATCTTATTGATGGTCTATAAAACCAAATTATTTATATTGAAAGTACCTTCTCAGTTACCGACATATATTTATTATTTGTGTCACGTTATTATCGTATACTGCGTCAATATATTTATACATGTGTTTATAGTATAGTTTCCATATAGTAGCCTACTTTATATAGTAAAGAATTAATATTTGTTGAATTATACCATTCTTTGCTGGTTTATTAGATGTAATAATGATATTTTTTGAATTAAATTCCACTTTTAATTTCTACTGTTAAAGGTGTTTTATCAAGTAGTCTTAGAATGAAGTCATAACTTAACCATCCATAAAATCCATAAAATATTGCCCATTCCTGATTACAATATCCATTCCATTTTATGATCAACCCAAAAACTATCTGGGAGATTTTCACACAGTGTTGATTTTCCAACTCCAGATTGTCTTGACCATGTTATAGACATTGAGCTGACCTTTACATGGGGATATTACATTTGTTTTGAATTTCTTTTTTCTTTAAATTTATCATTTGCACAGTTTTGAATGTTGTTAAAACAACGAATAAAATAATTTGTATGTTTATTTCCATTTGTTTCAGAAATTCATTTTTATTTTTTTAAGTTTTAGCAATTGCTTCGATTGTAGTAGTATTGGACTATAATTTCTTGTTCTCAGGAATTAACAGCTACATGGAAAGAAATGGTGGTGATATGTCAGCTCAACCGGTCTAATTTGATTAGATATGGAGGTATTTGTTTATTTAAATTGTTTATTGTATTTTTGCTATGCAAAAGGAAATACTACACCTAATTTTCACCTTGGATCTAATATAATGGACAAGATAAAAATTAATTTATTTAATACCTGCCTATAATATTTAATAAAACTTCAAGATTTGCAAGATTTAATTCTGCTCAATGCAATGTTTACAAGAATATTTTCATCTATAGAGGAGGTTATGCTAGGTTTTATGGACTGCGAGTGCAAAGTGGAAATTGTAGGCGATATTTTCAAAATAACTAGTTTCACGTAGTATAAATTATTTTATATAATTCCAATAAAAATTGATACATTTATCTTAAATGATATTCAAGTCATATTATTTAATCAGAGTTTTGAGAAAAAGATGCTTTTTATGTTCAAATTCTCATACGCTTTGATGATTTTTTGGAGATCAGCAGGATGTTTGAAAGTTGAAATATTTAATTGAATACTTCTCAAATTAGAAATATAATCCACCCTTGAATCTTCATAAGTTTTGCTCAACCTTTCTAAGACATGAAGGCAACTATTGTCACAATTATTAACCTTAAATATCTTTGAGTTCGTGAATGGTGCAACAACAATTAAGACATCCAAAAACTTATCTACATATTCCTCATTTTGCCGAATAAGAGTATTGAAATCAAATGTAATTGTATTTCTTGATTGACTGATTTTGAGAAACTCTTCTAATGAACTTTCTTCAGATTTGGATAGTTTGCTTTTTTCATAGAATTTTTCAAGACCCATCGAAACACCACCTACAGCAGCTCCAGTTATACCAGATGTAATAATGCTCTGTTAGATTATAATAATAGGAAAATTTAATGTAAATAATTATAGATTTTTATGAATTTTTCCTTAAAAAGCATACCACGGTACCAAGACCTGCAGCCCCTATGCTTTGTAATATCGCACACACGCTCCCAGTTGTGACTGCACCATTATAAAGTGACATAGTCCAAGCCGCAAAAGATCCCGCTGTAATTCCACCTATTTTTTTTTTTTTGATTAGTATAGAATTAAAATTTATTTATATTACCTTTACTTCTATCTTATTTTATATGCCACAAACTTGCCCCAAAACCCATGGTACCAACAATTACTGTAACAATATAAGGTGCCATAAGTGTCGCCACTAACGCTGCACCCCCAATCTTTAAAGCATGTTCCCACTTGGACTGTTCTTGTGTAAAGAATGCCTTGTAAAGGGAGATTTTGAAGAGGTCGACATCATTGATGATTCCGTTCGTGGTGCTATCATCGGTGCCTGCCATTGTCAAGTATTAATTTTTGCGTAATCGGAATTTCCCAAAAAAATTTGTCAGTCACAAAATCTAGCCAATGAAATCAAATTCCCGCTATGCTGATACAATCATGTGACTTTCAAATGATTTTTAAATGATTTTTTTTTGAATTTGTTGTCTAATAAGTTTTATCAATAATGGCATTCACGCCTTTTACTTTACAAACTCTCATAAGGAATATACCACTTGGTAGTGATGGTCAACAAAATACAAATCAAAATCCGGGAGGTATTTTGGGTTGGTCAGGTAGAGATGGTAAAGGTGGAACTACTAGCTCAAGACTTACAAGTGGCATTAGTTGGGGAAATAAAGACAATAAAGTAGTAATAGAAGCTGTAGAAGCTTGGGGTATGCTGGCAGTTTATGAAATAAATTTTTATAAGTAAATATTTTACGCTTTTTTGTAAATTGATGACAAAATTTTTCTTACTCTTGTTTAAAAAAGAAAATAATTTATATATTGGTACATCTGATGGAAATCTTTTACATTATGTTGTTGATGATCAAATATCACCAGAAACTGTATGTATTATAAGACAATTTCTTTATTTATAATATATACACAATCTTTTTATATTAAAATTTATAATTATAAATCTTTATATAAATAAAGGGAACACCATATGAATACTTGGTTTCAAAGAAATTGATTTTTGGAAAGAGAATTGTTGAAAAAATTGTTTTATTTCCTCAAATTATGAAAGCTGTAATATTTTGTGGCAAGTAAAAAAATTTTAATTGCTTATATAGTGGTTAAATATGAGGTTCTTTTTTTTAATATATGATTATTTCAAAATGTTTAGATTCCACTTTATCATTTTTTTCATTGCCTGAAATGGAAGCTTTACCAGCAACAGATTTTCCTTTGATCAAAGGTGTAACATGTTTCTCTCATGATTTATCAATGGAGGGAAAAACTGAGAAAGATGGCAGTGTAAAAATTTGTGCAATAAAAAAAAGATCAATAAACATCTTTTCCTTAAATAATAATTGTGTTGAAGAAGAGGTATGATGATGTGAATGACAATAATTTAATATATGTGTGTGTGTGTGTGTGGTAATTGATAAGCATTTTTTATTTGTTATTTATATAGAATATTCAATTACCAGATGGTGCAATTACAGCATGTCAATATGGCCAACATTTATTGGTAGCTGATAATTATCAATATAATCTTATCAATTTGAGAGCTAAACATTTGGATAACTTGATGCCTTATATTGATAGTAGAAATGATCGTAACTCACCAATTGGAGCTGATATATTTAAACCTATAGTTACTGTGATCGGAGAAGGAGAATTCTTGTTAACTTTACCTGCTAACCATATCCTTGCCATTATTTAATTTTGAATTAATTTAATTATTAACATCATATATGTTTAATTAATATTTTTAATCAAGTAACATCTTTAACACATATTACTATTTGTTAAATACAGACTACAATAGGACAATTTGTTTTATCAAATGGTGATCCAGTTCGAGGAATATTACAATGGACAAGTTTTCCTCGAGCAATTGGTATGATAAAATTATTTAAATCTAATAAATTTTTTTTTCCATATCTCTATTAATAGAATAAATTAATAAATTATAATAGGAGTGGATTATCCTTACGTTGTTGCATTACTTCGTAACAACACTATAGAAATTCACAATATTATTGATCAAAAACTTGTTCAAACTGTTACTTTAAGGACAAAAGCAAAAACAATTTCAACTGGTCCAGGAATTAAAGTTCAACCATCTGAAATGTACAAAAGATTAAAATTAGAAAATAGAATTATTGGCCAAAATAAAAAAACCCCAAGTGAATCGGGAAATTCTAAAGTTATAAATAAAGAAATTGATAATATTAAATCAAGTTTGAATGATAATAAAAGCGAGATCAATACTATAGAACAGAATGAACTACTTACAAGTGAGCCTACAAGACTTATCATTTCGGGAGTTGATTCTGTCATTGCATTGGCTGCTACTCCTTTGATTCTCCAGGTTTTTCATAGTTTAAAATTTTAAAATTTCCAAAAAAAAAAAATAGAATTTGTTTTTAAAAAATTAATTGTTGATAAATAAATATTTATTTATTTATTTATTTATTTTTAAAGGCTGATTATTTGCTTGACTCCAATCGTTTTGAGGAAGCTTTATCATTAGCTGAACAAGCAATGAACACAACGACCCCAGAAATTACTCGCAATAGGAGAATAGTAATTATTAATTAGTGAATTTAAAAAAAAATAATTATAATTTTATAATATTTTTTAAATATTTAAATTAATTACATATAAATATATATATTTATACTGCATCTTGAATATCATAAGAATTATGAAATAAATTATATTTATCAAAAATCAGGATATATTTTTCTGGGAGAAACACTTTTAGATGACGCATTTTCTTCTTTTGAGAAGGGAAAAACCGATCCAAGGATATTGATTCAATTATTTCCAGATTTGGAAGATATTATTGGAGATGATGAAGTGGTCCAAGTTTTTTCAGGGATTGGATCTCTTCTTGACGACTTTGGAAGTTTTGAAGACATTGGTATTTTACTATGATTATGCTTTATATAATATATAGTATACATTCATCACATATATATAAGAAATTAATTTACATTATATTTTTATATAATAATAAGTACATCGTAATTTGACAAAGAATTATGACCCGCATATTAAACCAGATATTGAAACAGCATCAGCAACTCAAGGATTACGTAAAACCTTAATCACAAATGCCAAAGAAAATTTACAAAAATATCTATCCAAATATCGAGAGCAATTTGATTTGAAAGCTATATCAAAAGACGAAAAAAAAATTTTACAGGTTAGAAGAATATAAATATATATTTTTAACAATAATTAATATTAAATCAGCAAATCATATTAAACCATTATAATATACATTTAGGCTGTGGATAATGCACTTGTTAGACTTTTTATAGAAAATAATTCAGATAAATTATTAAATTCGTTATTAGAAGGGCCAAATTACTGTGATTTAGGGCTCAGTGAACAAATTTTAATTAATAAAAAGGTAACATCTATTTTTGTGCATATGCATGTATATACAACAGTAAATCAATATAAAAATTTTTAAAACCAAATTTTAAAAATTTAGAAGTCTTATTCACTTTTATTACTTTACCAAAAAAATAATGAGTTTCAAAAGGCATTGGAACTTTGGCATAGGTGGGTTTATGATAAAACATAATATAATAAAATTTTAGATAAAATTTTATTCATAAATATTTATATTTATTTATATTAGTTTATTGAGTGAAAAGAATCCTAAAATAGATTATGCAACAGGCTTAGAAAAAATGGTAGATTTATTAGGAAAATTAGATGATAAAGATTTAGTAATGAAGTATGCAAGTTGGATTATGAAAAAAGATGAAATACTAGGCGCAAAGGTTATTATTATTATTATTATTATTATTACTATTATTAAACAATACTAAGTAAATATTCTGTTTAAAAAATTTTAAATATATGTATGTTTATATGTATTATTAGATTTTTATCCAACATGATAACAAAAAAACTTTATTATTTGAACCTGTTAAAGTCATTAATGAATTAAGGATTGCAGGGTGTATTGGTTTGAAGATGTATCTTGAATATTTAGTAACAAAACGTAAAAGTAAGGTAGTAAAAAATCTTCATTATATAAAAATATATACAGTTTTTTAAAGAAAAAATGGTGTAAATAATTGTAAATTATGTTTATTAGGAAGAATCACATCATACAGAACTTGTATTATTATACATTGATGAAATTAATAAATCGATAAAAACAGATGAAGGAAAGATGACTTTTGAAAGATCATGCAAGTATCCATATATTTATGATAGAATTATTATTATATATTGTTTATTATAACTATTATTTAATGACTTTAAATGATTTAATATCTAGTAAATGAGTTCTCGCAACAATCTAAAGATACGACAAAGACATTTTTATCATTTTTATTATCTCAGCCTATAGAAGATTTAATATCACAAGAACGTGTTAAACTGATAGCGTTTTTACAAACCTCAACTCAATATAATTTAGATAAAATTTTAAATAAATTATTAGAAGTTAAAATATTGAAAGCGGAATTGGCAATCATTTATGGCAAAGTAATTTATTATATATATATATATATATACGAATAATATTAATTATTATAGAAAATTATATTTTTCTTCAAAAAAATAATAATAATGATTATTTATTAATATAGTTGAGTGAACATGAGAAAGCATTAAATTTGTTGATAAATGATTTAAGAGATTATAATGGAGCAGAAATTTATTGTATTTATGGTGGTAATATGATTGGTATTATTAATAAGTCATCAAAAAAACAAGCTGATAAAATAATTAAAGAGGATAAAAATGTTTTAACTAGGAGAAAATCTTTATTTTTAATGTTATTGAATGTTTATCTTGAAAATGGGTAATTATTAAATCGATTAAAATTTATGTGAAATTTCTTATAATTAATATCTAACATTTTTTAAATTGTTAGAAATGAAATGGTTGATAGGATAATAAGTTTATTAAATAAGCAAGCAATCTATTTAGATCTTATTGAGGTAATAATGAAAATTTTAATCATCATCATCAACGTAATAAATAAATCATGATATTAAAATTAACCCCCTTTAATTTTAGGTCTTGTCTTTATTACCTGAATATTGGTCAATTGAAATGTTTAATGAGTTTTTAGTTAAATCAATAAGAAAAGATTATCATGAATATAGGGAGGGACAGATTTTAAAATCCATTTGCCATGGTAAAAATGAAAAGGTATTATTAATATCAATATTATTAATATAATAACATTACTATAATGATGATGGTGATGATAGATTTTACTGATCAATCAATCGATAATTGATTTTTTATTGTTAGATAAAATGTGAATTATATCAAGCCTATCAAGAAATTGGGCCAATAGTCATTACGCAAAATGTAAAATGTACAATATGTGAAGATTATATCAGTGGATCAGATTTCTTACGTAAAACAAATAGTGATCTTGTTCATTTAAAATGTGAAAATCCCAATAATGAAAATGATAATAATAATAATTTACAACAAAAAAATGGCAATGAAAATAATAAACCAGCAGATCCATTAAATTCTTAAAGAGGGATATTTATATTTATTTAAACTCTCGATTAGAAAATAATATTAATGTATATATTATATAAATATATATATAAATAATATATAATTTTTATTTAATAATAAATAATAGTAAATACTTTTTTATTTTAAATATGTTTTGAATTGCACCTTGCTCTCTTTTTTATTTACAATATGTTTAGAATAAACTATATATATTCTGTGAAGTTGGTGTGCGAATATACGTACTTAATTTTCTTCTAATTAAAATTATAAGGAAGGAATACTACACCAAAAGATATACAGTACCAACCGTCTACTTTTATCACGCATCACAAATTAATCCTCGTATGGCAAGTCGTCCGTCTCGCGGATGGAAAGGCATTCCTCCAACTCGTCCAATTGAGAAAGTGCCATGGAACCACCTTCAAAACGTTAACGGCCTTTTTTTCTTAGTATACAAATCAACCTCTAGAATTAGTGATGCCTATACTACTACATCAGGATGGATTCCTGTGAACACGTTGAGGGGTTGGTTATGCAATCAGGTTGTGAGACGTTTCCATATATCGTTTTTTATGGACGGGTGCAATTGATTGAGCAAATTCGAATAGTGTAGTTTGAAGCTAGCCATTATAGCCGTTATAAACTTCCAAGAATTCGAAAATATTACTAGCATTTCTGGAGATCCAAAGCACAGATAGGCGAGTTTGAGACGAAATTCGAATGCATTTGTGAGTGATAGCAGGTATGTTTATACGTTTTTTGTAGCGATATGTTAGACTACGAACATTTGGCACGAAATATTAACATCATTTGGGTCAAGACAATAACCTATTTTATTAAATTCGAAACATCTAAATAGGACGGCTGTCCTTTCAAGCACACATGGATAAAAAAATAAAACGTGGGCGAAATCTTTTTATTTTGTTTAATAATTATTCGCGCGTTGCATGGGAGAAACATGTTGGCTCCAAGAACTCCTCGAAAGGAACTAACAGTTTCTAATCTTTAGCCCGCTATCATTATTACTACCACTGTTGTAGAAATTATTATAATAATAAAAAATCGAAACTATTCTAATGCCGGCGTTCTTCTTCACTGTGCATCATGGCTGACGGCGAGTTTGATGATAAATGTTGTTACATTTGAAGGTGCTGAGAATAACGACGACTACGTTGACGATGTAGATATCTTTCAAACAAATGTTCCTCTACTGGAACAATAATATTATATTGTCACGATCTTTCCTTTTGTCTACATACAATGATTACAATAAGGTTGCCTCTGGGACACGAATTCAATTTCTTCCTTATCTGTTAGCCATTGGACTGTACAGCTTCCTTTAATATGTCCATGGGTTTTGCAGGAATAACAGACCCAGGATTATCCTCTGGTTTATGATAATATGATTTAAGCAATTTACGATTTTCGTGGAAATAAACGAACACTGGGTGAATTAATCGAGAATCTTTTAATATTCCCCTTGAGGAGAATTTCTTAATAGACGTTGTAAAAGGTTCCGATTTGGTAACTCCCAAGTATGGGTTCGTCAATTGCATGTTTTATTAATGTATGTACGGTTTTGGTTTGTGATTTGAGTTATTTTAAACATTTCGAATGTGTTCATTAACAATCATGCGTTTGAAAAAGTTCCTCGGTTGTATATTATTAAAATTAATAACATTAATGATATCAAATTAGCCAATTAAATTCATACAAGGTTTAAATAATAAATTTTATTAATAGATGAACTGAATGAAAAGGGATAAATGATTAATTATCTTTTTGTCTTTTTTTTTTAATAAATAAAACCTCAGTCCATTTTGGGAACAATTAACTTAAATATAAACGTTAGCATTAAATTATCTATATACACTACACAACGCAATTTTTTTTTTTCGAAAATTGTCTCTTTTTAAACAAAAAAAAAACTAAACTAATTCTCACGTTAATTATATTCTACGAAGTTTGTATGGCCTAATAATTTATTATAATTGTTACAATTATTATAATATTAATAATAACTTAATATATATATATAGTGTCGCTAAATTTTTACCTGTGTCTTTAGCATGTTGTACTGCCTCCTTGTCACCCACTAATCCTTTTTCACATTGACCACACCTTAAAGTAAAATTCGCTGTATATGTATACTTGTGAAGCTATAAATATAAATACAAGTATGTAAGAGACAGATGATTGGAATGGGGGGAATCATATATAATATACTCTACAATAAATCTACAAAATACCTTTTTCATTTTATTTGCAATGCTAATTGCTCCATTTAGAATTGATTGGTCAGAAATTTCAAAAATTGTTTGATCATAATCTTTATCAGCACTAATCATGGGAGTTAAGGCAACTGCATCATAATCTTCAAAAAAAAAGAAAAAGTAAAAAGTAAAAGGGGAGTTTTAAAAGAGATTTTTTTTAAAGGTATATGAAGATTATTATTTTCCAAAAAAAAACTTAATACTTACGAATTCCGCTAATAATTCAATTGTATTTATATCATATTGTTAATATATATATATATATATATATATATTAAATAAGATTATTCTTGAAAAATCATACCTATAAACTATATATACACATTGATCATAATTGCCTTCTCCTATTAACAAATAGACGAACCACAAAATTAATGAATAATTATAAAACTATTGAGGAATAGATCTAATTAAAAACAAATATATCTACCGTATTTATCAATTCTTCCTGTTCCTACATCTACGCTACGAATTTCTAAGAAATTTACAATTGGCAAAATTATTATGATTGTGATTGTGATTGTGATTATAATTTTTTGAAAGAGCAAGTTCAGTTCACAAATAATTAAAATTCTACGTCAAAATCTTTACCAACTTTATAATGAGAAGAAAAAATTGCCAATTCTTTTTTGTTTAAAAAATAAATAAATAAATAAAAATACATATATATTAATAAAAATTTTCTAAACAATCATCAACAACAACAATAAAGACATGTTCCAACTATTTAATTGTTACCTATTGCACCTCCCCAACTATTCTTCTGTGCAATCCATTTACAATACTCATTGCGTGATTTTCCCAAGATAATGTCAGAATAAGTTACAGGATCTTTGTTGACAGCATCAATTATAACTAAACATCAATAATTACAACAATAATAATTATTATATAATTAATATACTTTATATTATATAAATATACGTGGTAATTATCCTCTTTCACTTACTCTGTCTTAATTTCTGTGCAACTTCTGAAGAATTTTCCAGTACATAGCTTTTATTATTTTTAAAAATGCTTTTAATTTTTTTTATTTTCTTAAAAAAAAATTTTTTTTTATAACAAAAATCTTCTTACCCTAAATAATTTATAATCAATTAATTAATTTTAAAAAAAAAAAAATTACGAAATTTCATTTAAATAAATTTTTTATACCAATTGCACGGAATAAACATGAATTATCATCTGCCATTTCCTATATAAACAAACATTAAGATAATGAAAATTAAATTTTATATTAAATAAATTTTTCTTTAATAAAATGGTCTTTTTAGATAAAATACCCTTAGAACAGCATAACCATTTTCTACTGGAGACGATATAACGGCATCTTTACTCATAGTAGTAGAATCATCACCAGTAGCGGTAATTTTCGATGAATTCAAATTTCTATTAGTAATAGCAGCAGCAGCAGTTGGTGGTGGTGTTAAATCTGTAAGAAGAATAAGATCTCCATTTTGTATTCCTGCTGACTCTAATGTTACTTCATCATTAGCACCGCATACTTTTGGAGGAAATCCTGTTTTCACTTATTATTGTATAAAGATGCAAGGATGGAACAGTCAGATTCCATTGTTTATGTTTAATTATACGTTTATTTAATCGGTATATTATCAAAAATTAAAAACACATGTATATTCCTTTAACCAATTTTTTCCCTTACACTCTTGATATGCTGGTGAAACTCCGTTGATTCGTTGAATTTCTTGTCTTAATTCTATCATTTTCGATTTCTCGTTCAAACTAGTGATAATGTGTACTTGGTCTTTATTTCGAAGTCGAAGTCTCATATTTATTTTTAAAAAAAAAAAAAAAAGAAAAAATTGTCGATATCACTTTAATTTTACAAAACAGGAAGACAGTGCAGATTTTGGTCATTTTTTTATAGTAACTCGTAATTTATAAATTATATGCACAATTATACAGGCCTTACTTTATATATTATTTATTGCGTAATCTATGTTCAATAATTTTTAAAAATTTTTTTTTTTTAAATTCACTCCTAACATTATTTAGGTAAAAGAAATATTTTTTAAAAATAAATTATTTAAATGATGATTTAAAATACTTATCCTACACTCTGAATAAATATAAATATATGTTGAAACATAATAGTTTCAGCCTTGTCTGATAATTAAATAATTTATTATGTTTTATTGTTTATTTAAAAAAAATTATTTTATTAAGATTGTTTAAATTATTTATTTCTTTAATTCCTTTATAGAGTTTTTTTGAAAAATCCAAAGATAAGGTTGGTAGATGATGGTTTTGCTGGTAATTATTTAATTAATGATAGTAGTATTATTATTTGTGATTTTAAAATGATGATAATTTGTAGACGGGCGGACAGAATCAAAACATGTTGAATGTCTACTATTTTTTTTTTTTAAAAAAAATGCCTGATTTTTGTTTTCCTCTCTCTCAAAACATTCATTTACTCAAAAAATTATGCATTAGAGTTTTATTAATAATATTTTTATTTTAATCAATTCATTTTTATAGTTTTGATATTTGACTAGACGATTGAATCCGGGAAATGACCATATTTGGTGAGTTACATTTGAATCTTTATGCTAGACAGAGAAAAAAGAGAAAAATATGGCTTTATATAATAGAAATGATTAAAAATTCTTTATAATCAACAGACTGAATTTATTTAGTAGTGTTGACAACCAAGTTCGGTTCATCAATGATCTTTTGTTATATAAATTAAAGAATTATTCATAACTAATCATTATAATTTTTTTGATTAATAATAATCTTATTATTTATTATTATTAAGGCTCTGAATGATTCGATTTGTATCCAACAGACAATCTTTTATCTGGGTCTGTAATGTGTACAGTTGGCCTGGAAGAACAACTTTTACTTAATACATTTACTTGATGATCTTTGAGTATTTCATGGTAAATACTTTTTTTTTATTTGGAGAAATCAACTTTAAATTTAGAGTTCATGTATAATAAATTTGAAAGAAATTTGTTAAATAAAATTTAATTAATCTGATTTCATAAAAAATAATTATGCTTATAATTAACAAATAGTAAATTGATTGGATTTAATCAAAGCATGATTCATATCCAATTCTTAATTATTATTCCGATGTTTTTTTCATAGAAAGTTCCTTTACAAGTAGACATCAAACTTTATACGAACAATTGTTATTGTTATTACGTCATAGGGAATTACAGAGTCCATTTTTATTACACCTCCTTCGCTTGTCCCAAAATAGGAAGGAAAATTTTATGTAATAAAAATGATGTTATACCCAAAATCAAAATGATTGGACTATTCCTTTAAATTCACGCGCGTGAAATTCAAGCTAACCGATCAGGATTTTGTATCCAAACACCCCAAAACTTAATTGATCCAAACAATTACTTTATAGAAAGATCCAAATTTTTCATTTGGTGAAATTGAAATCCGCAAATTATGTGGAGAGGGAGAGAATTTACTGTCAACAAAAAATGAATCCTAGAAATAAAAAATGGAGAAGATGAAAATAATAATAATGGTGAAACCAAATAATACTCATCAATAGCCTCCAATGCAATTGCTCTGATGGTTTTCTTCTCTTGATTTTTTTAATATTTAATATTTATATATATATATTATTAAAATCACCATGTATTTTGTTCCCACTATTGCATGTGACTATACAATATTAATATTCATGATTTAGGTAAAGAGTTAATAATTGATAAATTGTAATACTAGCAAGAATCATGCAGAAATGAAAGAAATGGAACCTTTAAGGAGCCAATAAGAAATCTGGCAGTGGTAATTTTAAAAATGAATGACAAATCTTCAAGTGTGTACTGAAAAATGGAGAGTAAACATGCAGTTACCCATGTAATTTTTTCCGCAGGCAAGGAAAATTGACGGGCTTTGGACAAGAAAGAGGTTTTAGCCTCCCTAAAAATTTAATTACATCATCATATTATCAGGGCACACTAGTCAGACTAGCCTTATGTACAGGATGCATATAAGAATGACTGCAATTGCTTAAGTATTTGAATAATGCGCTTCAGCATCTATAAGTTTCATCCAACAATCATATTGAGTTGATTGGTGTTTCCAAATTTTCCAAGTCTCCATATAAGAAAGAGAGATATTCAATGGTTGTATTGCCTTCCTGATATTTCTTATTTATTGACATCAATAATGATTACATAAAAATACCAGTCATTTTTTTGTTTATCATTTTGGTGCTTGAAAATGAAATTTGTTCACATACATGAAATTCAAATTAGATCAAATCACAGGATGTCCAAAGAAGGATAGCACTTTTGGATCAATAAGCAGAATAATTTGAATTTAAATTAAAAATGTTATGGAGCGGTTGTCGAAGTAGTAAAAGCATCCAAGATCTGATATTAAATATTTTTAAGGATAAATAAGGGCAAGTTTCACTTTATTATAAAAATAATGGAAACCTAATCAAATAAATGAAAATATTTAATCTTGTAGACGATGGATTCAAAATTATAAGCAAAGTGTCAAAACCACCAATCACTAAATGATCTTGATTCCATAATGATGATGACCTTTGTACAAAAAGCATTCGAAATTTTGTATGTTATTTCTATTTTCACTAAAGTTGGTAAGAAATTGCAGAATACAGAACATGATCAAACTCTTGGATACATCACTGAATGTAGATTTCTTTGCTCTTATTGTTAATTTATTGCTTTATAACATTCCTTCAATAGAATTTCAATGGTAAGATTTTTAAAATTTTTTGTTTTTTGTTAGTTTAAACGAGTTCAACATTTTAGGAAAAGGACTACTCGGAGTCATTATGACATTTTTTGGATATTTTCTATTGTCATTTTATAAAGCCAAATGCCAAGTTTAATTGGTTTGTTTTTTGTTTCAAGGAATAAAATTCCACTGAATTTCTCAAAAGAATGTCGTGAGGGGTCTGATTCATTCCATCGACAGTCATTTCGTCGACAGTTCATATTTTAGCGTAACATACGCATTGATTATAGGAATCATGATAGAAGCGTCAGGAAATTTAGATAAAAATAAAAATTGGATACTCAAACATATTAATGACTGAATTTCAGGCACCTTGAAAAGAACATCGTCAGAAAAATAAATATTTTCTGAGTTTTGATTCAAACGAAACCTCAATACTATCCATTAGCATATTCTCAATTTGTTTGATTACACTATTAAAAACAATAATTATCATCAATTATAATCACCAAAATAGTCAATAACAATATCATCACCATCACTATCATCACATGTAAGCTAACTGTCAGTGAAGTGTTTGTCGACGAAATGAACTGTCGGCGAAATGTGTGTCGATGAGATGAACGCGACCGTTAATTCCCTTATGTTTTTCAGAAATGATCAGAATGATTTTATTGATTCTCCCATTATTATTATACTGATATGTCGTAAGAATAAATTCTACAATCCTAAAAAAAATTGACAAATTATGTCATTATAACGGGAGTAAATTTATATCTATAAATTTGTTTTTTTTAAAAATATCATTATAATAATAGCAAGGTTGTTATTATAACAAATGTCGTTATAGTGGGAGACTCGCACAGAATAAATGCTATTTAAAACTGGAAATTTTCTATACAACCCGTTGTTAACACTACACTGGTTAATTTAGTTGATTCCTTGTGACCTAACTACTTTTCGTCCCCACAATATCCAATATGTATTCTTTTATATTTAAAGAACATCATTTTAGGATAATAAAATAAATAAATAATTAAAGTGCCTGTTCATAGAAAACATGCCTTATTTTAAATAAAATTCCTCGTGGAGACAATATATTTCATTAAAAATGATTTTTTTTACTTCAAAAGTAAGATATTGTTTATGATTTAAAAAAAATTGGAAAAATTTAAAATTTATAATAATTTCGTATTACGTTTTTGGCAAAACAATTACCATCCCATGTATATTCCATTTACAAAGCTCAAATAGTTCCTTTTATATCTATTTGACCAATTGCAAAACTTGCTTTGGTTTATTTACGAATCAACTTAAGCAAGCTTGTTTAACAGCCTTACATTTGCTATAACAATTTTATTATAATAACTAAAGCTCCGAACGGTTCAGTTTGGCTAGATCTTCATATTTATATTATGAAAAGTTTACTCTCTACAATGAATTTTCGACTTTGTTCGTTATAGAAGATGTTAGTTATACAGGCAGAGTTTGTTAAACCGAAGTCAACACTTTTTACAAAAAAAATCTTCAGTTTTAAACAACCTTAACAAAATTGGCTTATATAGAGAGATAATTTTTAATAGGTAGATAATAAAAAAACATTGGTTTATCATGTGTATTTATTTTATCAAAGCATCGTCTTGTTGAGTTCTGAATGTAGAGAGAAAAATTAATTATAAAAAAAGAACCAGAATTATTATTATTGATTCAACAATAAAATAAATTCTTTGAAATTTAAAAAATAGAATACAAAATTAAAACTTACAAAATATGTATCAAATCCTGTCTTATGTGCTATGTAAAGGTCGTTCTGAGTACCAATATTGATCAAATTATGTTGCTTCAAACTCAGGCACTAAAGAGAGCTCAAGCGCATTATTAACATTATTGCGTATTACTACGTACTGCACGTAATTCTGTAGTTAATCAATTTAACACAACTCATATGTATGTAAAGATAATTTGATTTTTTACATTTTATAAAATGTAATAATAAAAGAATGGTTTAAATTTGTAAAAAAAGGAGTGGCCTTTTTATTTTGAAAGAAAAGATACAGAAAAAAAAGTTAAGTAATATTAATTTAAT